CGTCCATGGATGTAAAAGATTGTGAATCATTGTAACTGCAACAAGATCCTTCCTGATTTTAAATAATGTTCTAATGGTGCTATTAAACATTGCTAAAATCAACATGTGTGTTGTGGCAGAGAGCTGTAAGTATGGAGGGGATGTTTTATCAGACCATTTTGTAAATAAACGATGCGAAATCTGAAACTGATTGTGCTGAAGATTATTATGTAAGAAGATTTTCTGCAGTTGTTTCCACTTAGTTTTTGCACCTGTAAATCTGTGTACTGCTGTTTGTTGGTTTGAGGGTAGCAGATGGTATGGAATGTTAAAGGCCAAACTAACAGATTTTTTTTGGCATTCAGAGCTTAAGAGATCTCACTTTTGAATTTACTGTTCTTTAAATTGCGGACTGAACAAAAAGGGATCCATGAGAGGCCCGTGGTGTCCTGCATTGTAGACCGTGACTTTCTTAGCTTTATTATGGGTTTATATGTTCCATCTGGATGCAGATTTAACATTGCTCACTTTATGAAATAGCGTGCTAGAAGTATGAAGGTTTCATGGGCAACATCTCTGAATCTTAAAAAAGCCTGCAATAAATTTTTTTCATGCAGATTAACTGTGGCTCCCCAGCTTTTTGGCAAGCTAGTGTGCTTCGATTGAAAAGCCTGTATGTACTTTAAGGGGTGCGGTTTGTCCTTTTCATGACATCAGCTTTTGCTGTACTGTCTGTAGTATGGTTAGCCCAAAGTACTTTCCCTTAGTATTTTAACCTTTTAAAATCTTTAAAAATGCATATTAGAACTGTTTTAATTCTTCTGCTTTAAATATGGCCTACATCTACTAAGTTATATTTACTTTACTTACTTGTAAGATGTTAAATAGCGGAGGTAGCCATATGGCCTTTTAATACTTTACAATAAGCTGTTATTTACAGCTCTTCTAAACAAGTGACAGATTCCCCTGCCGAGTTCCCAGAATTCTGAACAAATCGCATTCTTATGCCATTGCAATTGCTATAAATTCAATTGTCAGCACATTTACAAGAAAAAACACTATTTCCTACTAATGTTAATGGGAGATGCAACTTCTGCAAAAAAGTTGTTGTTTCACAACTTAACTAAACATAGCTTTTAATCTGTGCAAGTGACTTTGCTGATAGCTTCAGATCACTCTTTCTGTGCTGCTGTAACTTGACCAGCTTCATTTTAAAATATGGCTTGCGGTTGCATAGACTAATTCCTTTTGGAGGAGAAAACTGCAATAACACCTATAAATTGTCAAGATTTTGCTTAAGACTTTTGCTCTTGATAAGCATTATATCTTAAATATCAAAGCTTGCAAGGGGACTGTATTCTTTGCTATGTATGCTTTAAATTTATAACCAGACACTAAGCATTTGACTTGCAAAATAACATAGAGGACTACCATTCAAATCTTTAAGTAGTAGGTTTCTGATGTTCCTAAAAACTGACATTATTACAATAGATTAATTTTTGGAGATAGTTCAAATGTCATACAGATTTGATTTCATTGGCATAACTTTGTAGTTTATCATCTTTATTGTGGGGGGGAAACTCCTTACAGTTTGAAATTCTGTATAATCTGTTCCTATATTTCACTAGTTCTGCTGTGCTTTTCTTTTAGTCAAGATACAAACCATTCCAGTGACTCATACCACTGATATGGGTAATAAATTAATGCATTTTTGAATACTATATTCAACTGAGTTTCTGTTCTGTGGTACACTTTTGCTAATTTTTTCAAGAGTTATTGATGAGCAGTGTTTTTCTAGTATAACAGTGTCTAATACTATTTTTTTTTCCAGCTCAAAAGTCTATTCTTGACATAGTTCAATAAAATGCATGTTCATTATTGGGGAGCAAATAGGATTTCTTAGTGCTGACACAATGATGCTTCATACGGATGATAAAATACTGCTACATGGCTATTTAAAACTTGTGTGTGACTCCTAATGCTTGAGTGGAACACGGCCTCCCACCCTCTCTCGTGCAATAACACATTTGTTGCTTCAGAAGGAGGTAGTGATCTAAGCCACGTTAAGGTAAACCAGTGTTGTGAAATTAAGTGCAATTTAAAGGGATATGACTTATCCACAACTTATTGTCAATAATAAAGCCAGTCAGCTGTGTTAAGAGGCGTGACAGTTTCATTACCATAGTGACTTTCTGCTGCACTCCTATGCCTTAAAATCCATGAAAGACAGCTCAAAGTGCAGCTGCTGTTAACGTTTGACTCTTCCTATTGTGCTGCAGTGGGTCCACCCCTAAACCTGCTGGAGTGATTTGGAACTTTGCCTTGCGCAGACTGGCTCATACCCATCGGAGCTGTAAGCGTGAAGGGTAGCGGATGCTGAGAGAAGCAGCGCTGCTACCGTACCCATCTCTTGCTTTTCACGTGGCAGTGAACTGCCAACGAAGATAATGCTTGATTCTCCGTGGGTGATGCGCCTGCCCCTCTCCCCTCGTGCAGCAGTGAGCGCTGTAAAGTCCAGTTCAGTAACCCCGGTGGTGGCGGAGAGATGTCTTAACTTTGAACACACTGCTAGGATCCCACTAGCTTAAGATCAAAAAGACTGAAGTCTGCTTTCCAGCAGTGGCAGGATACGAAACAGTTTGATTGCTGTGATCACACAAAAACCCATTGTGCAATTAGACCTCTTTCTAGTATCTTAAAGCATAGGAGGAAATGCTCCTTTTTGAATAAGTGACTCAGTGTGTTAGACGTATATAACCTAGTATTCTCTCTCCAGTTTGATTTGGGGAAGAATCTATTCCGATTTTTCTAAATGTTTTCTCTCCTTTTACCCCTCCTTCTCCCTACCCTGCCTTCCCCGCAAGCTACAAAGCTTTGGGGTAGTGTTGCTGTTTATAGATTTTACACCTAAGTATAAGGACATGAAACAATGTATATTAATCATATTTAAGAAACTGCAAATCAATGTCTGCTGTTAAAGCCAACAAAACAGTGTAAGTTTTAAGTTCAATAAGTATTGTATAGATATATCTTAAGAGTTCAATTGCTGACAATTGTGCATAAAATGTTACTGATGTTGTAAATTATTTTTAATAAAGAAAATTGTATCACAGTTCTTGGTATGCTACCATCTATTTTGAACAGATCATATGGAATAAACTTAAAATGGCACCATAACTATGTATAAAAAGGGCAGGGTAAATAAGGAAAGGATATAATCAGGCAGTAGTTTGGTTTTCCCCTTAGCAGTGTCTCACATTCAGGTTTCAAAGCATGTTTTAATCGGTTCAGAAGGTTTTCTGTGCTAGCTGGACTAGTTTGGCTCTATCTGTGCAAAAATGGATTGTGCCTTTCAGATCTTAGTCTGGATATCAAACCAGTTTTAATGTAACTAATTACATCAAATGACTTCTGAACAACTTAGATGTTTTCCTGAAGGAAAAAAAAAAATTACTTTCATTTATGATCTAGATCAAATCATATACTAAAGCAAGCTGTTAACCAAAGTTATGTTTATGGCACGTAGAGCTTACACCCAAGTCACTTTTGAAAATCTGTGATATTTGTATCTGACCCATTTTGGAGACTCACTTTCATAAGATGTGTTAGACTGGCATCCAACCCCGAGACGCTTAATTATTTAAGTTTTCCCTTTCCTTTTGCCAAAGTACAACGTTAGTCCTCACAGACGTGTGCAGGGTGGTGAAACGTAGGCGTCTAAAGACCTTAAATGCTGGTGCTACTGCTCAGAAACTAAATGTAAGACTTGTCTAGACAAATTACAGATCTGCAAAATGCATCATAATTTTGCCCAACTATAGGGAATTCATGCACTCTGTTTTTTCTGTGTCCTGATATGGAGCTTAGGCATGAGCATAGCAAGAAATGCTTTCCTACTGTATCATTTTTGATCCAGTGACCTAAATCTTGGGCCAGCCTCAAAGACTGGGAGAGGAGACCCTACATTTTTTCTTATACTTGGAAAAACTTGTCTGTGAGATTTATTGGCGGGGGGGGGAGGCAAGTAGATAAATATTTCATAATGGTGAATTATTGTGTAACAATTTCTGCTCTGAAATTAGGAGGGAAAAAACCCTCCAAAATCCAGGGAACTTGTTTTGTTTCTTAGAGAAACTACTTCCCTATAGGGTTAAAATATCTTCAAATGAATGTCTTTAACAATGCAATTAACACTGACATAGTGGGACTGACTGAGGTTTCTTAATAGCTAGTCTAGCTTAAAAAATAAATCTTAGTTTGACTTTAAGCCTTTTCTACTTCCTTATTTTGGCATTCTACTCCTTTTTTCCCTTAGGAATTCAAAAAGGAGAATTCATATTGATCTGGAAGAGTATGGGGCTTGGAAGAGGGAGGATTGCAGCAATGTTTATAATGAAGTCGAAAATTCTCATGGATGAGGCAAATGTTCTGGATGCTCTGGTATACTCCAAAAGGCATCCTGAGAAGGTGCCTCAGGTTTATTGTAGGTAATTGATTTTTGATCAAAACAAATCTCTAGAGTTTTTCATCTTGCATACTGATAGAAGGGTTTTAAAAAATCACCAGCTGTTTTATCTCTCTTTCTACAGACATCGTGGGAGCACTTTTTTGAAAATGTGTTTTCCCTTTCTTACTGGGGAGATGTTTCCTTGCCTATAATACTGTCTGAAAACAAAGAATAAGATGGTGCATTCGTTAGTGTTTTAACCCGTTACTTATAGCAAATGTTTTAATGAGTCTTTGAATATATTCAGCTCAAATTTGGATAAACTAAGTGGAAGTAGACTATAAGACGACATCAGAAACTAGCTCTAAAATCAAATCCCTTTCCCTTCCGTGTCCGGTGAGCGTGCCGCGGGTGGGCGCCGTCGCCGCTCAGCTGCC